AGTGAGAGACCTGAGGGACAAACATGAAATAACACAGAGTGAGGAAGCTTGGCAAAAAGACCTGAGAGACGGGCTTCCTGAAGCCCTCTGAAATATTTACGACGACAAAATTGACCGAAGTTATACCGAACGAGTCGAAAGTTGGGATATAAAGCAAGAAGTGAGACTTGGTGAGGACGACTCCACGTAAACACAGGGTAAGTGCCCAATACTAAAGTTTGAATTTTCAAAAAAGTAATTCCTTGTTTATCTTTAAATAGTTTCCATAGAGCCAGGTGTTACCGTGACAAGGGCCGTCATCCTGTACTGTTATAGGAAGAACGAGCTTCCACTAAAGGGGGTGACTTTGAAAAGTTAGTAAATTACTTGACTGTCTACAGAGACTTATTTTATAACAGGAAATGAATTACTTCTGACCCCTTGGTGGAGCTACTGTTGCTGCGCACTTGTCGTGCTGTATGTGACCCTTGGTTACTGTTGATGCGCACTTGTCGTGTTGTATGTGACCCTTGGTTACTGTTGATGCGCACTTGTTGTGCTGTATGTGACCCTTGGTTACTGTTGATGCGCACTTGTCGTGTTGTATGTGACCCTTGGTTACTGTTGATGCGCACTTGTCGTGTTGTATGTGACCCTTGGTTACTGTTGATGCGCACTTGTCGTGTTGTATGTGACCCTTGGTTACTGTTGATGCGCACTTGTCGTGTTGTATGTGACCCTTGGTTACTGTTGATGCGCACTTGTCGTGTTGTATGGAGTCGACCGTTATATCAAGGTTAAGCGTCGCGAAGATTACGATGAAAACAACAGTGTAAAAATGTTTACCAAACCAGACGCTAAAAATTGAAGACATAACGACGTTTTGGTCCGTCCTGGACCATTCTCAAGTCGAGTGTCATCCTTCACAATCGACTTGAGAATGGTCCAGGACGGACCGAAACGTCGTCGTCTCTTCCATTTCTAGTGTGTGGTCTGGTCAACATTTTTTCACCACGTTATTGTGACTTTTTCATCTGCAGCAGTGTAAACAGCTCTTAATCCAGCCCTTCCAGTCCTCTCTGATCTGGTCCGGACTTTTAAGGCGCTTGTGTTCCAGTCCTGACCTTTCAGGCGGTTGTGTTCCAGTCCAGGCCTTTTAGGCGCTTGTGTTCCAGTCCTGACCTTTCAGGCGGTTGTGTTTCAGTTCAGACCTTTCAGGCGCTTGTGTTTCAGTTCAGACCTTCCAGGCGGTTATGTTCCAGTCCTGGCCTTTCAGGCGGTTGTGTTCCAGTCCTGGCCTTTCAGGCGGTTGTGTTCCAGTCCTGACCATTCAGGCGGTTGTGTTCCAGTCCTGACCATTCAGGCGGTTGTGTTCCAGTCCTGACCATTCAGGCGGTTGTGTTCCAGTCCTGACCCTTCAGGCGGTCTGTGTTCCAGTCCTGACCCTTCAGGCGGTTGTGTTCCAGTCTCGGGTGTTCGGAGCAGACCCTACGAGCGCTATCTGGTGTGATCTAGTGGGTGTGGGGGAAGGAATAACAAATACGGAAGAGAGAAGGAATATAAAGGGGATGAAGGGCGCATATATCGTGGAAGACAAGTATACGAGAGAGAGAGAGACTGATGGTGCTCGGTATATAGAGATGTGTCAGGCAAAATGTCGTGTGGCATATCTCCAGGGATCTGCTAGGAGCAAAGCCAAAATCGACAGGAAAAATAAAGTATTTTTTCGTGGAACTGATCTTGTTGCTTCGCACGTAGGGGTGTGCGATGACTCTACCCGTGCCTGGGGCTTTTCTCTGATTGTACCTCCTGATTCGTGCTCAGGTTCAGGTCCGCTCAGGTCTAGATTCACTCTAGATACACTCAGGGGCCAGATTCATGAAGCAGTTACGCGAGCACTTACGGACTTTGTACATCTTTTCTCAATTTTTGGCGGCTTTGTTTACAACTTTTAAACAGTTAATGAGCTCCGAAGCACCAGGAGGCTGTTTATAACAATGCCAACAGTTGATTGGGAAGTTTTCATGCTTCTAAACTGTTTAATAAATGTAATCAAAGCCGTCAAAGATTGAGGAAAGATGTACACGTTCGTAAGTACTTGTGTGACGGCTTCGTGAATCTGGGCCCCAGGTCTATCTTTAGTGCCATTTCTAGCCTTAGGGACTAAAGTAGTCCAAGGTCTGTATGTGAGCATGTATCACCATAGTTACATTGTGTGCACAAATACCTCAACCGATGTTTTGGTCCGACAAGAGCCAGTGTCTACTGCCTAAGAATGTAGGTGTATGATCCAACATTTATAACAAGAGCTGCGATAATTCGTGATACAAGGACGCGCCAGGTAGAAGATGTGAAGTCGCTTTAACATCCGTATGTCCAGGAGGCACACGAAGGTAATACCCTTCTCCAGCTCTCAGACTATCATACGAGCATGCGCTGGCTGTGTTCTCAGCCCACAGCATGATTAGGTGGAACAAATGTGGCTAAGGTCAGCGTCGCAATACAGACAGACAGTTGACCAGACCACACACTAGAATGGACATAATAAAGGGGATATTAATACAAACATTACATTAATTACAGACATTACAGACAGACAGCTTCCACCTACAGCGCGCCGCTAAGGCCTGGCAACCCATGTTTCACTAGCTAATGAGCTGCATAATTACTCAGCCAAACTCTGCGTTCTTCTGTACGCAGATACGCTCTAAATAATGCAAAATTATTGTATGAGTTTGTGTAGAGTTACAGTTAATTTCCATTGTGTTGAGGCTCCTCGCGGTTGGCCTGAGACATTGAGGCTCCTCGCGGTTGGCCTGAGACATTGAGGCTCCTCGCGGTTGGCCTGAGACAGGACCATTAGAGTGGGACAGTAAATCTCCGACTAAAAGGGCCGGTTGTTGTTGTTTAAGATTCAGCTCCTGGGAACAAAAAGTTCTAAGTAGCACGGGCTATGGTGAGCCCGTAGAGGACTTACCTGGCACAGGGGCTGTAACTGGATGGCGGGAACGGGTCGCCGCGCAATATTTAACAGCAAATCGCCATAGAGGTGTTATGGAGCTCTGAGCATTGTTCCTCATCTGGTCGTGAGCTTCTCTGGTACATTTGCCAGTACTCGCCAGCATCCGGGTCCTGTCAAAGCAGAATAGGAAAAGTAATGAATGACCTTTATCAGTCGGCGCCTGGTCCCTGAACCCTGATCTATTCATACCATTCTGCTGAAAAGAGAAGCTGTTTGATGGCTCGAACAAACATGACCGGGAACAGAAAACGTTACTCAGAAAACATAAACAAAACACACACACACACACACACACACACACACACACACACACACACACTCACACTCACACACACACACACACACACACACACACACACACACACACACACACACACACACACACGGACGTATAAAAGACAGTAACTACGATAACGTGAAGGTTGCACTTGTCACCTGTCAACAAGGCTGCTGTACACCAACATTACAGTGATGACTGACAGATAGACACGGGCAGGTGATGAGTCACAATAACGTGGCTGAAATATGTTGACCAGATCACACACTAGAAAGTGAAGGGACGACGACGACGTTTCGGTCCGTCCTGGACCATTCTCAAGTCGATTGAAACCAATCGACTCGAGAATGGTCCAGGACGGACCCAAACGTCGTCGTCCCTTCAACTTCTAGTGTGTGGTCTGGTCTAAGTACTAATTGTTAAGTGCTACAGTGCTGAAACCTGGCCCGTCTCTTGTGTGGCACGACCACCGTACTTGGCATCTACCTGTACGAGAACAATAAAATATTAAACTATTTAAACACACACTATTTACACAATAAAATATTAAACTATTTATTATTACACTCCGTATCTTAAACAAGTAATTTAAAAGCTATAATTGCAAGCTATATATATAATCAGGGGCCTGGTATCTTGCTCGTTGAAACCAAAATCCTTATCCTGACCCCTTCCAAGTGCTATAAAGTCGTAATGGCTTGGCGCTTTCCCCCTGATAATTAAAAAAAAAAATTGCTCGTTGAAAATAGTCAAAAGTTTTACAATTAATAACCTGGAAATTATAGAAATTGCAACAGGGAGTCGCAATTTCATTATATAAATCAGCATCAACATCACTATTTGCAACGCCGGAAGCAGCAGAAGCAGCAACAGTTTCTAGCGATTTTCTGACGAAAAAAATACTGTAGAACACTAAGACTAATTCTTTGGGAGTGGTAAGTGATGGTATACAATGGCACGCTTCTACAGGCAACTGCACTCACTTGTTTCACTCACTTGTCTTACTCACTTGTCTTACTCACTTGTCTTACCTCCGCGCCACACACCTCTCTTATAAGTGGATCAACTTTAGCGCCTCTATTTGTAATTGTCTTTTTCAGAATTGACTCATATTTCATATAGCCTTGCGAGATAGCAACTGAGGATAACAGGATGTTCATAGTAAGAATTGGCGTGTCTGAAGACTGTAACAAGTGCCAGGACCCGCCAACGGGACCTGCCTGTTCTGTTTGTCAAGACCCCAGCAACCGTTGGCTGGTTAACTGGGCTGAATATGCGACCTTTGATATTGCAGTATATTACAATAATAAAAACCTTTACCCACAGACTCTGATGTTGAGTGTTTTAAGTTACGTTTACAGAAATCTGGGACATGGAGCTCTGATGTTTATGTTAACGTGCACTATCAGAGGCGTAAACACACACACACACTCAAACACACGCACACTCAAACACACTCACAAAGCAAATACTTTGGGACGGTTATCGGTCTATGTTCCAGGGGAAAATATGAGGATGAAAAGCCTTCACTGGTCTTAGTGCCGGGCCCGAGGGCTGAGTCCCAACATAAATATTACAAGCGATAAATTACAAGGTAAACAAAGGGGGTTCCGAGCCAGTTTAACAGGAGACGGGGACCCAAGAGTTGAGGCTAAATCTACAATTAAGTACAGTGTCCGCTGAATACCCATCTTTGACTCACGCTCACCCATCTCTTCTCAGCTCTGCCGGTGGAGGTGTACCAGATGTGGGTACAGTACCCGTGGCCGTTGGGGGAGGCAGCGTGCAGGCTCCGTGCCATGGTGCCGGAGACACTGACCCACGTGTCCGTGCTGACCATCCTGGCCGTGTCCGGGGAGCGGTACGTGGCCATCACCGACCCCGTCTACGCCCGTACCACCCACACCCTGACCCGCACGGCCCGGGTCCTGCCGGTCATCTGGTTGACCTCCATGCTGGCCGCCGTGCCGTTGGGCTACTTCCAGAAGGTTAGTGACTTTGACCTTCAGGGTCAAGTTTTATCACCTCCGACACGCCTAATCATTCCTTGTTAGTGCTAGGCATGTATCATGTGCAGAGAGGGGGTACTGGCTCGGTGCTTAGCGCCTCATTTTTGTTCTCCTGTTATGCATTGTTGGGATATATTGGCTTTTTCCAACTCTCTGGTAGTTCTCCTGTTTCTTGGGACTTCTTATGTACCATGGTATGGAGGCAGCAAAAGACTTCCACTCCTCTTAGTTTCTGTGGTATGATCCTATCTGGTCCCACCACCTGAACCCGATCCAGCACTCTCAAGGGACTTATAAATTCATTTATGTTTATCTCAATTTCCTCCCAATGCTCCTGATTTGAGTCATTTTATGAACCTCCTTTGACTCTATTGTGAAGCTCTCCTGAAATTTATTTTAAAGTTTCTCAACACATCATTAATATTTTCTGTTCTCAATCCTTTCCTGTTCATAGTTGCAACACCTGTTCCTTCACTGCTGTTTGTCTCTTGGTGTAGCTGTGAAGCAACTTGGGTTGAGCCTTGGCTTTATCTGCAGTGTTGTTTCAGATTATATTTATGTTTCTCTTCTTGCTCTGAAGGTTCTCATGCCCGTCCTCTGGTGCTCCTCTCCGCTCTCTATTATTATTGTTCTTTCGGTTATTCACTTTGCTTCCTTACATCTTTGGTTAAACCATTGGTTAGTCCTGTACCTTTGCCTGTCCTCCCCTTGAACAGTGCACATCTGTCTGCTGCTTCCCAGCATTTCTTGTTGAAGAGGTCCATTATTTTAATGGACCTCTTAAATAGTAAGTCAGCGGACCCATTAAGAGGTCCATTCGTGTTGGGTCTTCCCTCTGAGCTCATGACATCCTTGATGGAAAGTCTCTCATTTCCTAGTACTTTTCCCATCAGTATTCCAGCCTTCTACCTTTTGGTATGTTCCCTGTTGTTGTTTAAGATTCAGCTACTGGGAACTAAAAGTTCCAAGTAGCATGGCCTATGGTGAGCCCGTGATGGACTTACCTGGCAGAGGAGCGGGGCTGAAACTTGTATGTTCCCTGATCTGTGTCTCCTTAACAACCAAATGATACTCAAAAGCCAAGACACGGAGATCATGCATTCCCAAAAGGGCTATGAAATTGACTTGCACTATGTCTGATTCATCACATGAACATTATGTCAACTTTTTCCAGTTCATCATTACCCTTCATTCTTGTTTGGCTAAGGAAGGTACTGGTGGACCCTTCCTAAGCGTAGCTCTCCGTATATCCATTACTCCAGCGTGGTTCCCTATTCTCCAAATCTACATATCGCGGCTGAAATGCTCCTTGATCAAGAGTTGTGATCCATTCTTGTTTACAGTGAAAGAGCTTTTCCCAGGGTAGTAATAGCTGGGTCTTCTGTCATTTTGTGGAGGCTTGTATGTCACTGCTAATTTTATCCTAGACCCACTCTTCTTATGGTTCTCGTTATATAGTCACTGAATCTTTCACAACCTGGTATTGATAGTTCTTTGTATGTCCAGGCCTTCCTGACCAACAGGGTCATACCCCCTTCTTCCTCCTCCTTCCCTTCTTGTTTTATGTAATATGGTAGTCTTAGGGAAATATTGCAATAGTTATAACACTTGGCAGTTTTGTTTCTGATGTTACAATTACATCTATGTTCTCCTCGTTTGCCTGACTTACCTCACCTCCTACCAGGTGAACCTGGTGAAGTCCCCTCTGGGGTCAGACCTGCCCCAGAGTGCCTGGTGTGCCATCCCCTACGACGACCCCTCCCCAAGATATTGCTGGCTTCTGTGGGCCTCCTCCGTCGGGGCCTTCATGCTCCCGATGGCCGTCCTCATCGTCCTCTACTGCAAGATAGGTGAGCAGCTCCTCTTCCCACTTTCCAAACACAGCCGACCAACTGAACTTTTTATTGAAGGCAAGTCATAAAAATTATCTTAGGGACGATAGATAAGCAGTCTCTATCTCTTCTTCTTAGGCCAGGGTGATGAGTCTTTGTGTGTGTGTGTCCGGAGGAACCCATGTCTCTGGTCCATATATATATCTCCTGTGTTTATAATTGTACCACCACCACCACCTAGCTGCATCCCGGATGCAGGTAGCGGGTGTGCGTGACTAATGAGACTGTGGTTGCAGGCATGGTGTTGTCCATCGACCCCCCAACCAGGACCCCAGCAGCTGGGGCTGGAGCCATGCACACTCGCAAGGTTGGGATCCGTATGCTGGGTGAGTGTCTCTCTCTCTCTCTCTCTCTCTCTCTCTCTCTCTCTCTCTCTCTCTCTCTCTCTCTCTCTCTCTCTGTCTCTCTCTCTCTCTCTCTCTCTCTCTCTCTCTCTCTCTCTCTCTCTCTCTCTCTCTCTCTCTCTCTCTCTCTCTCTCTCTCTCTCTCTCTCTCTCTCTCTCTCTCTCTCTCTCTCTCTCTCTCTCTCTCTCTCTCTCTCTCTCTCTCTCTCTCTCTCTCTCTCTCTCTCTCTCTCTCTCTCTCTCTCTCTCTCTCTCTCTCTCTCTCTCTCTCTCTCTCTCTCTCTCTCTCTCTCTCTCTCTCTCTCTCTCTCTCTCTCTCTCTCTCTCTCTCTCTCTCTCTCTCTCTCTCTCTCTCTCTCTCTGTCTCTCTCTCTCTCTCTCTCTCTCTCTCTCTCTCTCTCTCTCTCTCTCTCTCTCTCTCTCTCTCTCTCTCTCTCTCTCTCTCTCTCTCTCTCTCTCTCTCTCTCTCTCTCTCTCTCTCTCTCTCTCTCTCTCTGTGTCTCTCTCTCTCTCTCTCTCTCTCTCTCTCTCTCTCTCTCTCTCTCTCTCTCTCTCTCTCTCTCTCTCTCTCTCTCTCTCTCTCTCTCTTGCTTCTACGTCTCCTCTTTTTTCCCTTGATTTAGTTTTTGTGAGTCTTTCTGACTTGGTTTTTCATCTTTACTGTTTATTTAAGCCAGTTAGTGTCGCTAGTTCAACCATTAGTCTAGCGCGAGGCTGTTGGTAAGCGCTTGTCCATTAGCTAATTGCATTTCTAAGCTATAGTTTATCCATTAGCTAATTATACTACTCTAAAGCGTTGTTAATTATTCATTTGTTAGTCAATTATAGTGTTGTGAAATAGTTCATCTGGGAGCTAATTACGGTAAATTATAACTCCTGTGTTGGGTACTCACGGTACTTCGTGGTACTGTGCTGGGTACTCACGGTACTTCGTGGTACTGTGCTGGGTACTCACGGTACTTCGTGGTACTGTGCTGGGTACTCACGGTACTTCGTGGCAATGTGTTGGGTACTCACGGTACTTCGTGGCACTGTGCTGGGTACTCACGGTACTTCGTGGCACTGTGTTGGGTACTCACGGTACTTCGTGGTACTGTGCTGGGTACTCACGGTACTTCGTGGCACTTTGTTGGGTACTCACGGTACTTCTTGAGTGTGCTTTTGGTAGTGAGTACCAACGTCGTGAGTATATTAGCCAAATTACAACTCATTACAGTGTTGTACTAAGTTCACTCAGAGTTCTATACCTCACAGTACTTCAGCCAATCAGAATATTGTACCTCAAACTACTTCAACCAATCAGAATATTGTACCTCAAACTACTTCAACCAATCAGATTTTGTACATCAAATTACTACAGCCAATCAGAGGGCTATTCGTCGCCACTGATTTACCAGTCACCAATCCTGACGCCAATCACTTCAATGGTCACCTTAACTAATCCTTGCACGGAAAACGTGTCTACAGAACGTGACGAATTTTTTGTTCCTTAATGCGTGAATGTGTAAACAGTTTATATACACAATGTAAACAATTTACTATTACTAATAAATCAAGTAATAGACTAGCAATACAAGATGCGTGATTGGCCTCAGTAATTGCCAGTTGGTGGTGAGAAGCTGGTGTCGGGGCCCGGGAGCTGTAGCCTCGATTGTTGATGTTGGCTACCTGATCATTCATAGAGGATTTTGTATATTTCAATACACTCCTTGTTGTATTTTTATTGCATGATGACGCGTGTATAATATATAAAATATTTTTTGTTCATGTTTATTAATAAAATTTCATTATAGATATATTTACATAAAGTTGTAATATAAAATTAAAATTTTTAATATATAATTTATATTAAAACTACAGTTCTCAGTGTGTATGTGTATGTGCTTACCTAGTTGTACTTGCGGGGGTTGAGCTCTGGCTCTTTGGCCCCGCCTCGCAACTGTCAATCAACTGGTATGTGTGTGTGTGTGTGTGTGTGTGTGTGTGTGTGTGTGTGTGTGTGTGTGTGTGTGTGTGTGTGTGTGTGTGTGTGTGTGTGTGTGTTCGTCTATATCAATGACTACATGCCAAAATTTCCCAAATTATATCTACTTTTCAAATTTGTGAATGGAGTTGCTTTCTACTATCTACTCATCTTACTCCTTCTATTTTCCTACTAATCATCTTGAAACACAAAAAAACTCTGTATTGTTGACATGTCTTGTTCCTAGTCGTTCCTTCTAGTTCAATTGGCCTTTGTTGGAACCGTTACCTCTTGTTCCATTCCATTCTGTCACGTATTGTACGTGTTGATCACGAATGCGTGCGTGAATCGTTGTGTTGTGATATGCCTCGCAACAGCAGTGTTGCGTGCGTTGTGTTTGTTGAGTGTGAGCTGTTTTAGTGTGTGGGTGAGCCCCCGAGCAGCAGTATGTTGCGTGACGCCTGTTTCCGCGGGCTGATTGTGTTGCGTGTGGCTGTGTTGCGTGTTAGGTGCGGGGCCAGCCGTTGTTGCGTGTGGCTGTGTTGCGTGTTAGGTGCGGGGCCAGCCGTTGTTGCGTGTGGGTGTGTTGCGTGTTAGGTGCGGGGCCAGCCGTTGTTGCGTGTGGGTGTGTTGCGTGTTAGGTGCGGGGCCAGCCGCTGTTACGTGTGGCTGTGTTGCGTGTAAGGTGCGGGGCCAGCCGTTGTTGCGTGTGGGTGTGTTGCGTGTTAGGTGCGGGGCCAGCCGTTGTTGCGTGTGGCTGTGTTGCGTGTGGCTGTGTTGCGTGTGGTTGTGTTGCGTGTAAGGTGCGGGGCCAGCCGTTGTTGCGTGTGGGTGTGTTGCGTGTTAGGTGCGGGGCCAGCCGTTGTTGCGTGTGGCTGTGTTGCGTGTGGCTGTGTTGCGTGTGGCTGTGTTGCGTGTGGGTGTGTTGCGTGTAAGGTGCGGGGCCAGCCGTTGTTGAGTGTTGCGTGTGTCTCGCAGTAGCTGTGGTGGTGGCATTCTTCTTGTGTTGGGCGCCGTTCCACGCCCAGCGGCTCATGTTCGTCACCATCACCACCTACGGCCAGTGGACGCCCTACCATCGCTCCGTCAACACCAAGCTCTTCTACTGTACCGGTGAGTCGCCAGGGTACAGTACCAGTCAGTCAGTAGGGTACAGTACCAGTCAGTCTGTACCCTGAGGGTACGCAGGTTCAATCCCATTGTATGGCCCTCATTATTTTCTCATAGATTCAGCCCGTTCTTGTCATTTGTGCAAGTTCAGTTGAACTTTTTTGTGTAGATAAACATATTAGAATTTAGCTAATTCATGAGATACAGTTCGAAATTTGTTGACCTTTGTAGAGTATTTTGCTATTACTTTGATACGACTTCAACTGGCTCAGATATTTTGTCAATCTGTCAGCTTCACTATCCTTATTAATCCTCTGTCAGTCATACTCACCAAAGTGTCCAATTCTGACTTATCTTGATACGTTATTCCGCCTGCATGTCCGCTTTCCTACCACCCAGCACCTCCTAGCCCCCAGTTCCTCCTAGCTCCCAGCTCCTCCTAGCCCCCAGCTCCTATACCAGTAACACATGTCCACTCCCTCCACCAGTAATACCAGTCTCCACCCCACAACCAGGTATCTGCTACTACCTGAACTCCGCCGTCAACCCCATCCTCTACTCCGTCATGTCTGTTCGGTTCCGGATCGCCTTCAGGAGGTCCTTGTGCGGGGGGAAGGCGTGGGCGAGGAAGCAGCTCTACCTCTCCAACACTCACGGCCATCTCCACCTCTCCAACAACTCCAATATCCTCAACAGGACCAGGGAGATCTCCACCACCACCTCCACCAGGAGAGTCCTCGACACCAACTACAGGAACGGCATCAACTATGTCTTCGTGCAGATGGAGATCCAAGCCTGATTCTGAAGTGACTTCGATGTCCACAAGTAACGTGACTTCGATGTCCACAAGTAACGTGACTTCGATGTCCACAAGCAACGTGACTTCGATGTCCGCAAGTAACGTGACTTCGATGTCCACAAGTAACGTGACTTCGATGTCCACAAGCAACGTGACTTCGATGTCCGCAAGTAACGTGACTTCGATGTCCACAATAATGTGACTTCGATGTCCACAAGTAACGTGACTTCAATGTAGAACTTGACACTAATGCATGGCAGTGTAATCGACACTATGAACAAATGAACAGAGTGTTCCATTAGACATGAGGCAGCGTTCACAAAGCCTAAAAGAGAAATGGCTAAGAATTAACATATCATAATTTAATTTAAAAGTTTTTAAGTGGAGCTCGCAGCAATATTATTACATTTTAGCAACACTTAAAAAGTTGACACGTTGGAAATTCTCACACACACATACATTATTTCTGTATCTGTCTCTTTCTGTCCATATCTTTCTGCATCTCTCCTGTCTAAAAATGTTCAGTGTCTGTCTTTCAACATATACCAACGTGTGCTACTCGTGATTTGTTCCAGTTATCTCCTGGTATAATCCTTGTGAGGGTTATCTCCTCACTCGCATGTTTACATCACCTCTCAAGTTTCTTATTAATTTATGTCGTTTTTAAAGAGGCTTCATGAGACGCATGTACAAGAATCTCACGTGTGTGTGTGTGTTTGTCCTCTTACTGTCCACGTTGTTGTATGCGAGTGCTCATGCTGTCCAAGCATGGACTACTGTCCAGGCATTGGTTATTGTCCAAGCATGAGCAACTGTCCAACTGTTCACAATCGACTTGAGAATGGTCCAGGACGGCCCGAAACCTCGTCGTCCCTTCACCTTCTAGTGTGTAGTCTGGTCATTATACTTTAGCCACGTTATTGTGACTCATCGCCTGCAACTGTCCAGGCATTAGCTACTGGCTAAATCTAAACAATGGACAAGATGTAACCCCTAAGACGTGTACATCATGATACAAGTGTTCTACAGCTGACATGCACGTGTTCTACAGGTGTCACTACAAGTGTTCCCGCGCGAGGGTGTTGACACAAGGCGCTGGCGCTCTGTGTACTTCGCCCACTCTCGTCATGGCGAAGACAAGAGTTCGATGCTATGATACTTATTTTTTGTACACCAGGTTGGTGGGTAGATGGCGCCCCTGAGCTCAAGTGTAACATTCCTGGTCTGGTCTCGTCGCTTAACCCGACAATAACTGTAATGTGTTGTATTGTCTGGCTACAACACTTGTTACATTACAGTTTTACACACACACACACACACACACACACACACACACACACACACACACACACACACACACACACACACACACACACACAGACGACACACACAATATATATTAATGTTATTGAATATGACAGAGAGGATGAAATCAATGATTCTAGTACGAATCTTCTCTACTTAGTTTTAACTTTTTTTCTAAACCTGAGAAAGAAGTTGAAAAATTAACTCTCCAAAGTTCATGTTGTACTTGTATTATGGCCTGGCGCTAAGATGTCCTTGTTCCTTGACCCTTATCAGCATTATCAAAGGTCAGAGTATCACTGGTTGCAATTGTAGAAGAGCGAATATATTACCGGAGATGAGGTCAACCATCTCAGTATGGCCCAATAGGCCCACTACACCTTACCAGTCGCCCCAGGGTCTCTGACGACAGGCGGGAGTGTCTTGGAGGTCTCGTCTTACACCTGGAGTGTGTGTTGGAGGTCTCGTCTTACACCTAGAGTGTGTGTTGGAGGTCTCGTCTTACACCTAGAGTGTCTTGGAGGTCTCGTCTTACACCTGGAGTGTCTTGGAGGTCTCGTCTTACACCTGGAGTGTGTGTTGGAGGTCTCGTCTTACACCTAGAGTGTCTTGGAGGTCTCGTCTTACACCTGGAGTGTCTTGGAGGTCTCGTCTTACACCTGGAGTGTCTTGGAGGTCTCGTCTTACACCTGGAGTGTAAGCTGGAGTCAGCTGGCTGGATTGTTTTGGTGTGCAGTGGTTGGTGTTGATGCCTGGTTGGTTGCCTCGCCCCTAGATGTCAAATCTTTCGTTGTCACTGTATGTGTCGATTACTGAAGTGTTGTGTGGTGCAGCGACACTAGAGGATGGGACACTAGCGAGGCACTACACCTCTAAGACACCTCCCAGCCGCGCCTAACACCAGGTTACACTCTGGTGTCTTAGTGAGCACCACCAAGAATCCTGCTCCACTCATCACTGACACAGGATTGATTGATTGGTCAAGATTAAGCCACCCAAGAGGTGGCTCGGGCATGAATAGCCCGTAAGTGGTAAAACATTTTGTTCAGTAAATCTTTTCAGTGTTCTGAGGTCGCATTTAATCGTCAGGCTGCTATCGTGGGGGAGGATACTGCTTGACAGTGTTTATGAGGGTCTCCAGCTGCTGGACACCTTTTTTTGACCAAAAGAGTGGCAGTGTTGATGGCTTCAGGCTGGTTACTGCGAGATTCAGGGACTCTTAAAGCTCTTATAAGGTCGTTGGTTGCTTCACATTCCAGGAGATAGTGAAACAGGAGATGTTGTTGTTGTTGTTATAGATTCAGCTACTCGGAACAAGTTCCAAGTAGCACGGGCTACGGTGAGCCCGTAACTTACCTGGCACAGGAGTGGGGCAAGTAGCACGGGCTATAGTGAGCCCGTAACTTACCTGGCACAGGAGCAGTGCGAAAACAGGAGAGTGGGAAGGTGCTTTAAAGCCTTATGGCCCCACAGTGAGGCACTTCACCTCATCTCCCGATTATATTATTCTACTGCTCTAAAATTTATTGACATTACGGGCTATTCATGCCCGTGCCACCACTTATGTGTGGCTTAATTTTTATCAATCACTCAATTGTTTGACAGTTCCAGCCCCGCTCCTGTGCCAGGTAAGTCCACGGGCTCACCATAGCCCGTGCTACTTGGAAATTTTAGTCCCAAGGAGCTGAATTTAAAACAATAACAATAATTTATTGATTAAACAGCTTACTGGCTCGTAGTGCTGCGAAGCATAAGAACTGCTGATGAAATATAAACTAATTCGCCATGATTGAGAAAAGATGCACAGGTTTCGTAAGCGAAGAGAAGTGTTTTGATAACAGCTGCTCTCTAACCAGTGGGCAGACTACCAGTTCACAGCTAACAGATAATCTTCACTCAATGGTTGTAATCTTGTGATGTACAAAGTTTTTAACCTTTTCTGTGTGTAATGATTTAATAAACAAACATTTCTATAGTACCTAAAATATTCACATTATATATATATATATATATATATATATATATATATATATATATATATATATATATATATATATATATATATATATATATATATATCCCCCCGAGAATGTTGGCAACTGTCGCTCAGAAATATTTAAATAAATAATCTTTGGTAAGTGTTAATAATTATTTTTCCTTTTGGTAAATGAGAGAGAATTTGACAATGTAAATTCCTGCGTGTGGGTATTAGCGTGCATTTAATGGTATACGTGAGTGAGACCGCCTTTGATTGCGTGCGTGAGTGCGCCGACGATTGCTTGAATGTGCTTGTGTTTGCGTGAGTAAGAGTGCCTGCGTTTGTTTAAACGTGTTTACGTCTTCGGGTAAATGTAATAGTATGTACTTGAGTGAACAAACATGAATAAACCAACAGGTTTATTTTATTATACCCGTACAACTAGGACGGGCAGGTAAGTACAACTAGGTCAGTACTTAACTAATCACATAATACAGGTTCACTACACAATTATATTAGAGTACGCCAGTGGTGCTCCGGAGTCCCTACCACAGTACCCTGAGTACACACCACAGCACCCTGAGTACACACCACAGCACCCTGAGTACACACCACAGCACCCAGAGTACACACCACAGCACCCAGAGTACACAACTGGTGGAGTACTACGTTATAACACAACTACCACTACAGTCCCTCGCCCTCTCCCCCACGCCAGACATAGTTTATGAGCTGGACATAAATAAAACAGCTTTTTAACCGTGCGCCAAATTGAATGTGTAGGTGTAGTGTGTAATTTAATGTTTAGTGTACTAAAAAGGGGTTTAGGCTTTTGTTTATGAGGACGGGCTGGTGTAACAGCATGACCTCATCAACAAAGCCCAAATGCTCCTTAATGCAGCAACCAAACCCAACCCGTCCTCGACTCAAGTCCATTACATCCAGCGGTCGACCCCACAGACGCATTCATAAATTTTAACATGCTGTTCATTCAAAACGGGAATTTTCTCAAATGTAAATTAATATTATTATGTATTAGCATATTGTGCATATTTAAGCACTGGTTAGGTTAGGTGTTTAGGTTCTGTTGGCGATTATTTGTATTTGTAGTACGTGGGTGAAGCATTTACAGCGTTGTGGTTCGAACAAAAGTCGTCAGTGAAGCACTTGTTCCGGAAGTGTTCGGACGTCATCAGTTGTGAGTCTTGTGTAGACCGTCTTCATTCATAAACAGGGGGTTTGGCGGGTGTATGGAATCACTTTTGGGTCTTTGTTTGGAGGACGAGGTGAAGACGCAGCCCGTCCTCATAAACAAAGACCCAAAAGTGATTCCATGCACCCGCCAAACCCCCTGTTTATTAATGAAAACGGTTTACACACGACTCACAACTGCTGACGTTCGAACACTTCCAGAACAAGTGCTTCACTGACGAATTTTGTTCGAACCACAACGCTGTAAATGCTTCACCCACGTACTACAAATACAAATAATCGCCAACAGAACCTAAACACCTAACCTAACCTATGCCTATATATACACAATATGCTAATATATAATAATATTAATTTATATTTGAGAAAATTCCCGTTTTGAATGAACAGCATGTTAAAATTGTTAGAAGCGTCTTTGGGGTCGACCGCTGGATGGAATGCACTTGGCCTGAGAACGGGTAGGAAGACGGCTGTTGCTGGTGCTAACAAGATGCTCACATTCTAATAGCATCAGTTTTAAAGATTTGCTGTCTCTCAGATTAACAAACTCACCGACACTCGCAAGAACACAAAATAAGTATTTGGTAAGTTCAAAACACATTTTCTAAAGTATCTTGGTTATCTTGAGGTTATCTTGAGATGATTTCGGGGCTTTTAGTGTCCCCGCGGCCCAGTCCGCGGCCTCCACCCCCAGGAAGCAGCCCGTGACAGCTGACTAACACCCAGGTACCTATTTTACTGCTAGGTAACAGGGTCATAGGGTGAAAGAAACTCTGCCCATTGAAAGAAACTCTGCCGCCGGCGCCTGGGATCGAACCCAGCACCACAGGAACACAAGTCTAGCGTGCTGTCCGCTCGACCGACCGGCGTATCTTAACGTCAGTCTCCTTCCCACTAGCATCGTTTTTATTTACAACAAAAAACCTGATATGTGCTTTTGACGGTAAAACAGAATTTAGATAAAATGTTTCACGGTATTCTGCATATACATATAAAGTTAAAGAAACCCCACGAAGTTTTCCGGTGAATTAAAACTCCATTTATCGTGTCCCTAACAGCCAAAATATTGCCTACTAAAAAATTCAGCTCTTCGGCTCCACTCTATGATAAAAAAAAACACCTAAATTCTTCATCATTTTTAATCGCATGGAAGAGAAAAATACTGGATTTCTTTTTATTTTTTTTAAAGTTTTGCCCTTTTTATGTTGTCTGCCGTAAACATGCAACTTTTGCTAGAGCTTTGATGTGCAAATTTCAGCGTTTTCTGCCCAGGTATGTTAGGCTAGGACAGCCGTACCAACCGTAGGACACCAGACGTACCAACCCTGACACCAGACGTACCAACCCTGACACCAGACGTACCAACCCTGACACCAGACGTACCAACCTTGACACCAGACGTACCAACCCTGACACCAGACGTACCAACCCTGACACCAGACGTACCAACCCTGACACCAGACGTACCAACCCTGACACCAGACGTACCAACCCTGACACCAGACGTACCAACCCTGACACCAGACGTACCAACCCTGACACCAGACGTACCAACCCTGACACCAGACGTACCAACCCTGACACCAGACGTACCAACCCTGACACCAGACGTACCAACCCTGACACCAGACGTACCAACCTTGACACCAGACGTACCAACCTTGACACCAGACGTACCAACCTTGACACCAGACGTACCAACCCTGATACCAGACGTACCAACCCTGATACCAGACGTACCAACCTTGACACCAGACGTACCAACCTTGACACCAGACGTACCAACCTTGACACCAGACGTACCAACCCTGACACCAGACGTACCAACCCTGATACCAGACGTACCAAAGAGAAACTAACCTACCATATGCAGGCGATGAGTCGCAATAACGTGGCTAAAGTATGTTGACCAGACCACACACTAGAAGGTGAAGGGACGACGACGTTTCGGTCCGTCCTGGACCATTCTCAAGTCGATACTTGACTTGAGAATGGTCCAGGACGGACCGAAACGTCGTCGTCCCTTCACCTTCTAGTGTGTGGTCTGGTCAACAACCTACCATATACCAAGATCAATGAATCCCGACCATATGGATCCTACATTTCGATTAATATTTTAATCTTTAATCGCAATTCTCCCCGGCTAATGTTGGCATCCATTCTCTGTGAGGCTCAATACCGCAATAACCCAGCCACCGGCCGCGTACCCGACCCGCCATTCTCTACTAATCTGTAAATGATTAATATTAATCTGAAACACGATCATAAGCCAGAAATTACTGCTCTTGAACAGCACGTTAATGAGGCCGGCTTAGTGGCTTCTGATATGCCTCTCTCGCTTGAAAAACGCTATTAAATCCTTTTCCACCGGAGAGAACTGGAATGGCTGCTGGGGGGGGGGGTGATGGATGGAGTGATGTTGTTGTTGTTATAGATTCAGCTACTCGGAACAAGTTCCAAGTAGCACGGGCTATGGTGAGCCCGTAACTTACCTGGCACAGGAGCGGGGCAAGTAGCACAGACTATGGTGAGCCCGTAGGGATGGAGTGAGAGGTGGAGTGATTATAAAGGAAGGTATAGTGAGGAGCAATTTGATGAGACGTTTATGAATGGAATGATGAGTTGTGTGAATAGTGGAATATAGTGTGCAGCACCGGGTAGAATGAGTATGATGTGATGAGGGAGGAGGAATGAGTAGGTGATGAGGGGGTGTAATGAAGGGAGTGAACTGGAGAATGGAATAAGTAGGATTAGCGTGTGGAATGAAGGATGAAACGAAGGGAAAATAGGGGAAACAAATCAACCAGTGGAATGAGGAAAAAATATAAAATACTGTTGTGTAACTATGATGTAAGC